CACACACACACACACACAGAGAGAGAGAGAGAGAGAGAGAGAGAGAGAGAGAGAGAGAGAGAGAGAGAGAGAGAGAGAGAGAGAGAGAGACGGCAGTTTCAGTGAACGTACCGGCAGTGACAACATACTGTCTATCGATGAGAGTGCCGCCGCAAAAGAACTCGTCATTGTCTTTCAAGATCGATAACAGAACGATGTAGGGGAACGCAGTCCGGTTGGTCTTTGCTCCGCCGACAATCCTCTCGTCTTTGGTCTGCTGGTCCATTCGAGCATCGACATGGCCATGAGCATATTCCATGAAGGCACCCCCCCATCTTCGCCCCGCCACACTTTCACTTTGGCGATGACGATGAGGAGAGGATTCAGCGCCATAGCTCGCACGAGCGACAGCATCCACAGCGAGAACAAGTGAGAGAAGAATCGCTGCCGTTCGGTAAGCCCTCAATTGCTGAAAGGAGAACGACTCCATCTTTGCACCTCGCTCAGAACTTTGCGTCCTCCTCCTCCTCCTCCTCCTCCTCCTCCACCTCCTCCCTCTCCTCCCTCTTGTTTTCGCCCTCCTCCTCCTCCTCACACTCCTGCTGCTACTCGGCCTCAGACTCCTCTCCCCTCTTCCTCCTCTATTTTATCAATGTCTTCCATAACTGGGTAACGACGTCCGTCCTTCGCTAAACTCCTCCTCTGTCCCATGCTGTCTGACGGAATCTGGTCCCGATTACGACCAGATTCTTTAACAAACCACAACTACTACGATTGCAGCAGCACCAACGGACAGAAACAGGCCACTACAATCTTTACTTTTTTTTTTCTTTTTTCTTTTTTTCTTTTTGCGACGGCCTTGAGATATTATCATTGAGCTGACCGGCCCCAAGCAATTCATTAGTAGTTGGTTTTACTCGTCAAGTTCCATCATCTGGATTCGAACACAAGTCTGTATTTCAACAGTTCATGGGTGTACCCACTGAGCTAGGCTCCTGGGTACCTTTTTTTTTTTGTTGGGAATCTTTAGGGCCTCCTTCCACTACTCGCCAATGGACGCGACTTGGTTCCACTGCATCGCCAATAGCCACCAAATGGAGGCTGTCAGAATTTGGGTGTGAAATCACTTGGCGATGTGCCCCCAAGGCTTTCCATTTCCCCTGCCTGCAACGGCCCTTCGTGGAGGCTCTACTCCTCACCCCTCCGCGAAATGCTTCGTGTGGCCATTGCCCCTGACACAGCCATCCTGACAGTCTACCTGCGTTGTCCCCTAGTGTTGGCAAGTTTTAGCTGCACCTGTAGTGATTTCCAGTCCGAGTACATGGTGAAGAGAAGGCGGCCACGGTGCCATTAGCTCGCCATCCGCCACAGGGCCTCGCCACACCACTCTCGAATCTCAAACATTCGTGAGTCGGGCACCGCCACACAGCATCGCTCGAAAAAAAAAACTCGAAACTGTTCGAGAGCTGTCAGAAAGGCTTTTTCGAGTGCCCTCTCGAAACGATGTTTTCACCCAGCCTGCAGCGTTGGAGTTTTCGTGATACGGCCCCTCCGCTCTCGAGTTCGACGTCCATTTCAAGAGTTGTCAGGCCGTTTTTCGTGATGCCGCCCGTCTGTGCTCGAGTTCGTCCATTTCGAGAGGCCTGTCTAGTGTGCTATGTGGCGAAGGGCCATTTTCTCTCGAAAACCGGCCTCTCGAAAAATCCTGACAGCTCTCGAATCTTTTCGAGATTCGAGAGTGGTGTGGCGAGGCCCACAGTCCGGGGAGCAGGCCGGGACAGCAACCACAGCGCACGTGGCGGCGGCGATGTAATGGAACCAAGACCCTTTTTCCGCCAGAAAAATGCAGTTTTCGGCCTCGCCAAGTCTCGCCACTGTTTGTGGCGGATGGCGAGTAGTGGAACGAGGCCCTTACTTTTCTCCGGAACATCTGCTCGAAGTGGAGCGATAGTGAGAAGATTATCTTTCTTTTTTTGCCTTTTCGTTTTTGCCTTTTCGTTTTTGCCTTTTCTTTTTTGTCCTTTCTTTGTTTTTTCTTTTCTTTTTTTTCTTTTTTCTTTTTTTTTTGGAGGGCTGTGCCGTGCTCCACAGCAGTGCAATACAGAGGCAACGCTGAAGGAGTCAAGCAAGCAGGCCTACCCGGGGGCTAAGCCCCACTTGCACGAATTAAGAGATACTGACCGTAGATAGCAAAGATCAACGGCCGAAATCTCCTAATCCGTGCAAGTGCGACCTTGCCCCAGGGCGAGGTCCCACTAGCATAGCAAAAAGGATTGGATTGAATGCCAGAATCTGGACATACTTTTCGCCCCATACCCCGCTCCCCTTGCCCACCCTACCCCACCCCCCTACAGCCCCACCACCCCTCCAACACTCTAAGCCCAACCCTAGCCTGTAGATAGGTACCTGTCGTGGGTCCAGAAACCAACCTCTACAACACCCTGGACTTACAAAAAAAAAAAAAAAAAAAAAAAAAAAAAAAAGGAAAAAAAAAAGAAACAGCCCCAGCGACTGCTAGGGGTGCTGATATGATCAGACACCGCTAGCAGTGTCGGGATGGCTCCATCTATTGGTGGGGAGCATCACCTGCTGGAAATCCACCTATCCTCTTACTACCCCATACCCTCTGTCACATCAACCCGACCCAACCCAAACCAAACCAACCCAACCCAACCCAACCCAACCCCCAACCCAACCCTTTCTCCCATAGGGAATCCAGGCACTCCCCAAAACCCCTAGCAATCACACATTCCCACCAGAAATGTAACCAATCTTCTAAACAAGGATGGGGACAGATATCACACGCTGTATTGATATCCATGCCTCTTTCTGAGCACCAAACTGCGGTGGGGACAGATGAGTGCAAATGTAACCATTGGAGTCCCCCCACCTTCGTTTCTAGTGCCGAAAGTAGGAGTTGAATAAAGAACAGTATCCAAGAACCCGAAGTCTGTCTCAGATTCAAAGAATTCACCCTGCGCTGCCAGTTGACTGTGAGACCTGCTTGGATGGAGTGAGCTTGAGAGTGAAGACTGTATCCAATTTTGGAAGTGTACTCTCTCAATGGAATCCTGGAGAGTGGAGACTTCCTTACCTGGGAATGAGATTAACCAACCAAACTTATCTGTGTCTACTTTCCACTCTGGAGCTGTGCCGGATTGAGAGCTGCTGAGAGATGTGTCGTCCCCTCCTTGTTGAGTCATTGCTTCTTGCATATCCACCGTAGCATCGGGTGCAGGGGGATTGGAAATGACCGTGGTCCACTTCAATGGGATGGCAGAGACCAACTCTGCCAGGTGGCGATCAACTTGGTGGAGACCTGCGAGTTGCTGTCGAAGTTCTGCACTGTTCCTCTATTCCTTTTTACCGGAGTCCCAGATGTGTCTAATGAGCCAAATGCCCCGTTGCATCCATTTTCGGCCAAAGTTGCCAGGAGACTTAGCTACGGAGAACGGAAGCCCTGCTTGGTTACAGATTGCTGTATTCTCAAAAAGACAAGAATTGAGGATTTCTTCCAAAGTGGCGGGTTCTTCCAGTCGTTGAGGGAGCATCTTGCTCCATGCCTTGAGAATTCCTTCCCAGCTATTAGTTGAGGAACCGGAAGTAAATGATTTCATTAGTAAGTTTTTTGTTTTTTTTGTAGGAAGAATCAGCTCATATATTGCAAAATCCAATCGATGTTGTTTCTTGGCTCGGACATAACTCAGAATCCTGGGGCTTGGTTCCCTGCGGGGTGTAGTCCCACCCCGTAAGTGAAACTGGGTAATGCTCCCAGCCTTCCGGGTAGACTGTGAGGACCCCGGCCTCAAAGTTGTTTATTGGAAATATAAGCCTTGGGCACAGAGTCCGTTGTTAAAAAAAAATAATAATAAAATCAATCGATGAAAAAAAATAATAATAATAAAAAATCAATCGACGAGGCCGGGGACCTCACAATTCAACCCGGAGTTATCCCGGCAGCATCAGTCGGCGCTAGGTCCCACTTGCACGAATTAAGAGATACTAACCGTCTATACCAAAGATCAACGGTCGAAATCTCCTAATTTGCGTTAGTGGGACCTAGCCCCGGGTTTCGTTTTTGACGAGACCCTTTTGGGAACCCGAAGAACTCATTGGACTATTCGTACAAGAGTGGGTAGTGGTATTGGGTTGTGATATTGGTTTGGCTTCGGGTTTTTGGATACTGTTCTTTATTCAACTCCTACTTTCGGCACTAGAAAAGAAGGTGGGGGGATTCCGATGGTTACATTTGCACTCATGTGTCCCCACCGCAGTCTGGTGCTCAGAAAGAGGCATGGATATCAATATAGCGTGTGATATCTGTCCCCATCCTTGTTTAGAAGATTGGTTACATCTCTGGTGGGAATGTGTGATTGCTAGGGGTTTTTGGGAGTGCCTGGATTCCCTATGGGAGAAAGCATATTCCACATCAGGTTTTTGAAACAAGGATCTAGTAATTACAGGTAGAGTCCCAGAGTGTTTTAAGAACCATCAGGCGGACGCTGTGGCCCAAGTCTTCAGAAGAAGGGCATTTTGGTCTATATGGCTTGCAAGACGAGACAAGAGATTCCTTAATTCCAAGTCTCCTATCCCTTCCCTTACTGCCAAACTCTTACATTCTATAAGACTGAAAATTACTGCAGATTGGTACAAATCCAGAAGAAAAGCGGGCTCTTTGGAGCTCGCGAAACACAGTTTTGAGAGGAAATGGTCCTCGTCTTACAAATGGGCGGGCTTTTCCAACGGGAACAAGTTATTCTACTCGGACCTCCTTTGGGATCACTCCCACAGACCTAGGAACTCAGACTGCCTATCTGACAGCTTTTTAGCTGAGAGGGACTGAAAGGTTTTCGACTAGATAGAACTTCTCCTGCATCATGTTTGAAATTCTTCCTTTATCTACTCATCGGGCTTTTGATTTCCTTTGTCAAGTTCTGTTCACCGGGTAGATTGTGGGGACCCCGGCCCCGTGTTACAATCTTGTGACTATATAAGGGACGCTGGGCCCGGTTCCCAGCAAGTGCTGCTCCCCACCAATAGATTGGAGCCTTTGTTTGGAAAAAAAAAAAAAAAAACATGCTCGTCGGAAAAGTGCAGAAAATTGAGATTGAATTGCTTTTCTGCATCTGCGCGTCAAACCCATCCAGATGCAGTTTCTCGATCCGATCCACTCGGCTACTGGGACCTCGACCCCGTACTACCCCTCCTTAGGCCAAAAAAAAATAATTTAATATCGTTGTGGCCAGAACAGATTCGACACTTTATTTATCTTACTTAGGGCCAGATCCCACTGGCAAGGACGATTGGAATAATTGTATGAATATGGACGTGTTCCACGAAGAGATACAGGAGTAGATCAATCACAGTTTTCTGCACCTAGCCACATAGACGTCCAGATTCAGACACTCATTCCAATCCTTTTAGCCAAAAGGTCGAGAAAGGTATTGGGAGAAGAATATCGGGGGCCAAGTCCCACCAGCAGCTTTGAGCTACCTCAAAGTCTGAACCTGGACTCTTTTGCGAAGATGTGCAGAAATGGTGTTCAGTTTCCTGAACTGCAGGTCTCCACAAGCACGTCCAGATTCAGGCGTTGAGGTAGCTCAAAGCTGCTGGTGGGACTTGGCCCCGGGAGTGCTCCCAAATGTCAGGAGTC